TGATACTGCTGACTGATGCTGTGCTGCTATAGCAGCTACTTCTGGTTCTAGAGCTAATGATAGCTTCTCAGGATTAACCTCCTCTGGACGTGGTAAAGGGGAACCAACTGGAGTGAACCTTGTTATACCAGGAGCATCAGAAGTGAGACCAGCCTATGATATTAACATAATGAAATACAAAGCATGTATTAGGTTACCATATAAGCAGCTTCTCTCATCATTCTTCTTGCTCTTGCTTTCCATATAGCAGGAACAGTAATGACCCAATCAAAATTAGTTGATTTGTGTATTTCCTTTAGCTCATCAGTGAGTAGCTTCTCCTTGAGGTGTGTTAGTATAAAAGCTATAACTTCAATGAGATAATAAGAACCACCAGTGAATGAAGAGACTTTAGTAGCTCGATCCAATGTCTATAATAATATCATTTGTATCATTACTTTAACTGTTAAAGTTTGTTCCAACTCACTGTATCTCTCTCCAGTAAGGTCTTTATTCGCTCAAAATAAATGTAATTTTCAGCTCCTTTTTTAATATCACCATAGATGTTCTGTGCTTTATATCCAACCTCCATTACTTGACATTGTTGGTTCTCCTGGTCCTTCAGTATTAGTATAGCATTAGGTACCCTCTCATAAGTACTGTGTAGTGGTACTAGTTTGATCTGTCCATCAGTTGGAGTGGTGTATGCTACTGATAGTGATGAGGTACCAAAGTCAATAGCTGCTACACAACTGCTGCCTTGTAGTACTGGAGTGGCTCTATCTATCTTCTCAGCTCGTTTCAGTGGTCCCTTAGATAAAGCCATGATGAATGATACTACTGTAAGGGCTGCTGTAAGTCTAACTATGGTCTAACTTGTCACAATGACTAAGTATAATTAATATAAACTGTGAATTGTAGAGTTGAAGGTGGGACCACTTTTTCCTATAGTTTTGTTAAGCTAAGAGAGAATTAAGTGATAAGTATTGCTGTATTTTTCTGTTACTCATCAGCAACACTTGCAGTGCATGTACTTTCATACCGTATAGAATCTTACCATTTTTCCTAGTATGCCATACCTATGAAAATGCAAAATTAGCAAAATTTATTACCAGTGAAATATAACCCCTATACGTTATAATGGTAGATTTGAAAGTATTAAAACCTGCTTACTTAAAACATTGATTTAGTTGGAAAATTGTAAGTGACATATTGCAAAGCTCACCAGATCAATTATTTGCTTTAAAAGTCTCAATTTTGGTCTAGTATGTCATTGATTTGTCTTTAACTTAAGTAAGACACACTTTTCAAGTACTGATACAAGAATATATTGCAGCTTGCCATGCAGTTAATAACTACTGTAACTGCCAATACTGATCCTGACTTTGACTATATACTATTCACTATTGTACAAATGTTAACAAACTAGATCTTCAGGTGTTTAGTGTCACTGGATATACTGTATACCAGTTTATTTTTGTGGGGAAAAAATTTTGCGAATCTTGCATTTCTAAGATTTCGCCAAATTAATTTTCATGAATAGCTTGCAGACTGCACCACATGGCAATAGAGATGCAGAATTTCATGATGGAAAAGCTTCACAACGGAGTTAAAAATGCGAAATTTGCAAAAATATTTCACTGCGGTAATAAACCGGTATATGGTGTGTGGCTGTTAGTTGATTAGAAGTCTATTGGTTTATCTACAACCTCAATTTATCCAGTGATTCTCAGCATCTGTGCTTTATCTATTTACTGGTGAAGTAATACTTTGGTGAATTTAGTGCATTGATGAACATTAAGTCATTGTATTTTAGCCTAAAAATTGCATCAGCATGGGGGGCAGTGGGTGGGCTTATTGAATATTCATAAAATGTACATGAAAATATTCAAAAATAAGAGTAGAAACATTGTGTGCATGTAAAGAAGTGCGTCCAATATTTTGGAGAACTAATAAAATACTAAAACCACTGCATATATTAGCAAGTAAATCCTTCCAAACTACTATTGCTATTCATTATTGTTGTTAGTCTTGTTTTGATAGAAAGTCACAAACTGTTTTCACTTCTTCTCCAGTGATACTATACTGAGCTCTTGCTTGTATCTCTGTACCACTGAAATCAATAAACACGTCTATATCTCTCTCATCTCTTGGTACATTATCAGGATTAGGAACATCAAGTAATAGCTGGCCAATCTCACGTACTTTTAGTTTACCTTTTTTATCTACTACATACTGAACTCCATCAACTGAGGTGCAGTATACAGAAATACTAACTTGAGTGTAGCTTTGAGAACGAGGTATTAGTGTAGTTTTATATTCTTCATCCTTTAT